GCATCACTAACCTGCTTGCTGCCAGAGAAGAATGGGTTAAAGCAACAGAAGAGAGGAAACACCTTGATGTCGTCTTCATTGACTTCAGCAAGGCATTTGACAACGTGCCACATAAACGGCTTCTGCTCAAACTTCAGGGAGTTGGTGTCACCGGAAACCTCTTGTCCTGAATTTCAGACTTCCTGGAAGCACGAACCATTCAAGTGAAGTTGAACCAAACACTCTGTCCCTGTGCTTATGACCAGTGGGGTTCCCCAAGCCTCTGTCCTTGGACCAGAGCTCTTTAAACTGTACATCATCGGTCTTCCAGCGACACTTCAAACCAACCCTCTGGTCTACGCTGATGACCTCAAACTGTGGTCTGAACTATCTTGCCCCCAAGATGCTGACAGACACCAAGCTTCGCTTGACCAGCTGCATAACTGGTCCGTTGAGTGGCGACCCGATAAACCGTGACAAATGTGCTGTTATCCCGATTGGTGGCCCGGATCCTTTCGGTGCGTATCATATCGGAGGATATCACCACAAGTCTGTCACACATGAGAAGGACCTGGGAGTCATCGTCTCGCACGATCTCTAGACATCACTTGACACCCAGAAGAAAGTCCGGAAGCCAACCGAATGCTCTGGGTTTTACGTAGATCGTTCTGTAAAATTACGCCGGAGCTTTTTAGAACGCCGTTCGCTTCGCATGTCCGTTTGATCCTAGAATATGGTCTCCCGACCGCTTACCCTCTAACGAAATCAACTTCATCTGATAGAGAAGGTGCAAAGGTGCGGTTCAAAATCTATATCGGAGCTTCGGGATCTTCCATACACTCATCGACTTAAGACTTTGAACCTGTTCTACATGAAATACCGCCGCCGTCGCGCAGATCTCCTCTACACCAGACGCATCCTAAGAGGAGAGCTTGGAAGTGAGCTGCAGCAGTTCTTCCATCTAAGTGTAGACAGCTCGACACGTGGCCACAACTGAAAATTATTTAAGCCGAGGACATTTCGCACCCGTCCGCAAGCTGTCCTATCTTCCAGTGCTAAATGATTGAAACAGTCTGCCGAAACACATCCTTGACTCGCAGACAGAGGAAAGTCTCAAGCTATTGCTAGACATCCAACTAAACCACATGGCAGGATCCTGCTGCCCTTACTTCTTACTTCAAAGCTGATGATCTCCGAAGACGTAACGCTTCCGGACAGCAAGCACCCACTCTGTGATGATTCGGAACCGATGAAGCTGACAAGGGATCTCCCTCCTGCTCTCAATATTCCAATGTATTCCAATGTAGCACTGCGCATGAGAAGATGGACTGTCCCGATCTAGCTTGTTAATCGAGCTTGCAACGCTGGCTTTAAATTATTTTGTCTGGAACTGTTTACTTATTGCTGTTTTACACTAATCGTCTATTTAAGTGACACTTATACACAGTGTCCTTTTATTCATTCCTACAAAGTTGGTTCTGGTAATGTAATTTTAACTCTTACATTATCGATATTGTAAAGTGTTGATAATGTACGCATCTGGATACATGAAGCTTATTTTGTCTATTTGTCTTAATAATCCGAAAAAAGATAGCGACCAATTTCTGGAGAAAAAGGCGAAAACAAGATCGCCGAAACCAAGCGGTGAAAACACAAGTATTTATGGTCGAAAAATTCAGAATCAGAAATGAAACTGAATGGTAAATAAATTTCTACGAAATAATTCCAATGAGCGAAGAAATTCAACACAAAGTGCTCTTTTCATCCGACCGGAGACCGCTTTCCGCCGTACCAGAGTTGAAGTAGAACCACAACGGCTACATTCCGAAGTCGTGAACATGCTCGTACAACACTCAGATTGGGGCTCCCTAATTCTTCATGTACTCCAATCTGACGGTATCGTTGGAGTTTGTGGAGACTTTAAGTTAACTGTTACTCAGGCTCCCAAGGTAGAAAGGTATCCTTTGTCAAGCTACGCTATCCGGTAGTCAAACATTTTCTAAGATTGAGTTTAGTCACGCATATTCTCAAGTTGAATTTGATGAGGACTTATTTGAAGTAACCACCAGAACTACACCCCTTAGACTATTTAATTCCATTTTCAATTCAAGAAAAAGCTGTTCCACCCACGCCTTCAGCAGTGTAAAAAGAATACACAGAAAAGTAATAAGCACCAAAGACAGCGATATGGTTACCATGTAAATTTGCTTGTAAGCTCCATAACGGCTGAGGTCTGATTGCACGAAAAACGCCAAATTTGGGAGTACGAATAAGCAGTAAGCCCTTGTACGGGAATGAAGGTATCTGTACTTTAGTCTAGTTGAGGAAGTTGGTATACAATTAAACCGAAGCATATTCAGGATTGAACACGCGTGAACCCAATAGGGCGAAACGGCCGTCTGGTGCCTTTCCGGATAGCTGGTCGACGTAACTGAATATTCGGCTGATTGCGACGAACAAAAATACGCATGAACCCTATGCATATACGCTTGAAGTAGTGTTGTATCACTAAGCGTATTGATAGTATTTCACGACTTGATATCATTAGAAAAGTGCAAACAGTTCGAGCTGAGGAAATGCTTGATATCGCCGAGATATCACAAAAAGTTCGTGGCCCCAGTTACCGATACCTGTGGTAATCAGCATTCAACTTGGATGGGGTAAGGTGTTGATTCACGCTGTACGTTTGGCAACATCCGGTTTCGGATTTGCCTGTCACTGTGACCAGCCACCGGACGCCTGCGCCTACAGAGGGACCATGGATGGCTTGCGCTGCACCACCCACAGCTCCATCCACACACACCCCATATCCAGTGTAAACCCGAAGGAATAAGACCGGGAGGCATACGGATGGGAGCCACGTTTCATCAACGGAGCCGTCCCACACTCCTTCACAGGCAAACACAAGCACGCTGTATTTGGGGAATCAAGTGCACACACAAGGCGGTGGCTGGACCGTAGTCCGCTCCACACTGAGTACATGGAACCACCCTTTGATCCTAACACGGCCACAAGGACCGTGCTCCCCTTCCCCTCCAGCGACGACCAACTGTCTCATGGAGCCAGTATGGAAGAGGTAATGGTTAATGGACAGGTAAGCACCTTATCAACATGCACATCAAACACCCACTTCTTTTGTGATGGGATGTATAGTATATCTCGGGCGAACGAAATCGGCACAGGACTAATGGACTGGAATCCAATGAAACATCACCCACACGTGTTAGCCAGGAACGATGGACACCATGGGCTTCACATTCGGTGTGCCCGCTGGTAACTGCGATCCGGATTGACCCCGGACACTCATGAGCACACGGTAAGCGCGAGCTAACTAGCCGAGGCTGAAAACACGACAGGCAATGCTGACTGGTCAAGTGAGGGAAGGCAGCCGGTGCCAGTTCACTGGAGAGAAAGCGAGTTAGGTGTCACCCCAGCGAGTTGAACAGGATTGCACGACACAAATAGACAATGCGGATTTGACGTGGTTGTACGTAAGATCAACTTATCCCCATTTGATGCATGTATGGTTTAGATCCTCGTTTCTCAAAGTGTGGTCTGTTGACCCCAAAGGTGCCTACGGTGTACGTGCAGGGAGCGATTGGAAAAAGTGCCGCGGTGGACAGCCATTGAGGTGGAGAAGGAGAATGAAGAAGGCAACCTTCAGTTTGGCGGCAGTCGGACCAGTCCGTCTTCCAGGTTGGGGACCACGAGATGCTGAATCTCAGTGGTTGGAAACATTAGACGTCATGGCCCGCAACAGACATCAGTGGCGTCAATGTTGTTCTGCCATTTTACCATTCCTTTGATGCACACAAAACTCACAAAACAAAACAAAAAAGCACAAAATGGCTTGTGTAAAACCAAAAAAATCGTTTCCCATATTTTTTGATCGCAGTTCATGTTCACATCTTATTCATCACTTTTTTCTCCTGCCATGGTGCTGATGACACAATGTCTGTTAACAGGCTGTACTTTCAGGGAGTCCGCAGAATTTCATGGAAATATTAAAATTCAGTCAATGATTAAGTGACGTAATTTTTCTACCTCCATACACATCTTTCATTTTGTACTAACATTGATGAACATGCGTGTTAATTCAATGCGCAGTAATTAAATTTTTCAGGAAGCTCCGCCCTATTCTCATTTTATTAAGGCCTAGTCTTATGCTGAACCACATTTCAGAGAGGCTACACCGTGCGAGATTCCACTAACTAGGGGTCCAGGACAAATGGCGTAAGTCGGCAGATGAGCAAAAATAGACGATATAAGAGCTCACGGCGGGAGATATGCAGTGCAAATGTGCCACATTGAAGTGATATCTCTAAATTATGTATGCTGTAAACGGCCCTATATGTCACACATAAGAGATCCCCAGTGTTACCCACGCTTTGTTTAGACGCTCGTTTGCCTACTCTACGTCTGTTCGCCACCAAAAAATAGGGTTTTTGACTGAACGATGCTCTATCGTTTGCATCGGCGAACCACTAATGGCTGAAAAGCTAACAAGCTACAAGAATTCAGTAACATTTGAATGCAAGTACAAACGGTAGTACCTGTATTTATTTATTTATTTATTTTCCTCATTTATTTATTTATTTTCCTTTCCTTGTATTGATTTTCCTTTTCGTTTATGTATTGCGGCACAGTAGCTGAGGTGTTTCCCACCGCTAGCTAACGTGTATAATGATGATGATGATGGTAGTACCTGAAACATGAGCTTTACAACCATATGTCAGGTATTGATACTAAGGAAGTTTGAGAAAGGCCTTTTGGCATTGGACTAAGTCTCCATACATTTACGCCATGCCGGCCCATGACGTATAGTAGTTGGTTTAGTTCCGCCTGCTCCGGTGTCTTATTCCCACCGAATTCGTACAGCTTAGTTTGTAAGCGCTTTGAGTACGGAAACAATGAGTACACAGTAAAGCAAAATAGAGTGTATATTATATATATATATATATATATATATATATATTGCTAGTTTAGGTCACTGACACGGGAACTAGTAGGAGCGACTTCTCTCAAGCATGTTGTTTCGAGTGGGCTATTGCGTTACTTCTCGTGAAGAGCTGGCCCATATCGGTCACCTCCGTGTTCCACACCACTGCTGCTAGAGTGATCACCATGGTGATTACGTACAGGATGAAGAACATTCGATCGACAACGAGGGACAATGTTCGCCATTCCATGGCCGCGTATTCCTTGATATCACTGAATGTTTTGAGCTGATCAAGCATGCACACATCACATCTGATTTGTTTCGCTTCCTGGTTCATTCCGATGTTTGGGTTTTCAGTTGTCATTTGCATACTGGCAAATCCATTAGCAGTTGGAAATAGGCCATTCTGCCACGATGGAGTAGCGTTCATTTGCTGGTGCAACATTGCCTCATTACATACAACATCGTAAGGCATCGCCTTCCCGTCAGCATCATTTACAGAAGGGGACAGTGCCGATTCCAATGCTGGTCTCGGACAACGGGTTGGCAGCGGAATATTCCCGCGTAAGCAAGCGATCCTCCCCAACCAATCAATAATAAGCTATAAGTTGTCGAAGGAAAAGGAAACAGCTTTAGGTTGAGAAAATGTTTAGTTATTTAATAAATCATTCCATTTAATCGCAAAGTGATGTTCTCAATTTGAAACAGTGGAACAATGGTTTAATACTGGAAAAAATCTATAGCTCAATAGATCCCGTAGTATGGTCATGATGAATATTGAAAATATGGAAGGTGTCAGCAAAAATACGTTCACACCACTGCACTCACTACGGTACACATACTATAAGCTGTAAATCCCCTGTAGGTGCATAAAAATGACGAGAAATGAGACGTTTGTAAAAATGGTGTGGTTTCCTGTTGAACACGTACAAGAGATGAGCAAGGTGGGACGCATTCTGGCACTCTAAAAGACAGACGTATTTGGCCATGGGCAATGAGTTATGTGAGTTTTGATACAGCTTTGGACCCCACCAGCGTGGCAGCAGAGCTAACACATTCAGGGAGAGCACTTCACGTACTGAGTTCATCAACATGGTTCAGTGTTGATGGAGCACCCCAGACATCGGGCCTATATGTCACTGTCCAAAATGAACGGTAATAAAACGATGGAGCCGAACATTTACTTGTTCTGTCACATATTGATACAATATCAGCCTGCCCAACGAAATTTAAAGTTTTGAGTCATAGGCGCAGAGATAAGGTAGGAAGTGGCAATTTTGCCAGTTTTCGTCTTCTCCCTGCGCTACTTACATTTGGCTATCGTTAAGTTGCAACTTTCTTCCCTTCATGAAGGCGTACCGAAAGAACTTCACAAGGAAGTATCATGGAATTTTGAAAGGACATGAGTTGCTATGACAGTTGATGATCACTTGTCTATTCCGGCACCAAAAACACGAACGGTGGTCAAACAGACACATCGCTATCACCACCAACAACAGTGCTGTATGCTGTTGAAGGATGGTTGCTACTCAACTATGGTCACTGTACTGGTGAGAAATGTTCGAGGAAAGAAAATAGAAACCTACTGCAAAACATGAGTGCGCAAGTGTGATTGCAATTCGGGTGAACGAAACTGATGCGAGATGATCAAATTGAAAGCCAGCCAATCATCGCTCACGGGATCTTACCACAATTGCAAGAGCTATATAGAGAAGGTAGAACTTGGTCGGTCTAATACAAACGAAGAGCGGTGTAGTTGTAAGCTGAAGTGTTCCATCAGTCTGTGGTAAACGCTCCGAACATTACAGCCTTCAAACAATTGTTAGACATTCATCTGAGTGACAAACAACACATTGTGGTGTGATGTACTAGGTTTAGACTATTGGCATTTCAGTTCCATGTCGGAATCTAATGCTTTTTATCTATTTTGCATTTACCATCCTATGGGTCTTGTACAGCCAATGCTTTTTATCCCGTCATACACTATTGAACTATTGAACTATTGTATTTCATTTGAGCATAAACGTTGTATTATAAAAATACTAGTGTGAAGACACGTTTAACTGACTATAAAAATCTGGACAACAGGTTGCAGCACTAGTATTTTTCCACCTTATTGAGCTCGCCATAGTTTTGTTCTAATGAACAATTCCTACACTTTTGTACATAAGGGTTAAATTTCTGTTTTCTGCTGTAATTACTAATTGATAGCTCTAAGGGCGCAGCATATGTACTTTTTAAGTGGTTTGCAGCTATTTTCACACACATCTTTCACACTGACAGTGGTTCATTCATCGGGAAGGTCCGCTTTCACGATTATCAGATAATGCAACGCAGCACTTTTTCGCTCCCACACACATACTGAGCCATTACAAAAGTATTAAATCTATGATGGAATATAAATAATTGCTTATTGCAATAAAAGTGACATTAGACTGGAGAGATGCTATCGTGTGCCCTATTTTCAAAAAGGGTGATAAGCACTTACCTGAGAATTATAGACCGGTTAGCCTAACAAGCGTACTGGTAAAAGTATTAGAGAAGCTTGTAAGAGATGCTCTGGAAAAGCACTTAGCTAAGTTCAGTTTGCTCAACCCGTCTCAACATGGTTTCCGCAGAGGCCACTCCTGTTTGACTAACATGTTGGTAGCCCGAGAGTGCTGGGCTGAGGCTGTGGACCAAGGACAGGCGGTGGATGTTTTGTTCATCGACTTTTCTAAAGCCTTTGACACTGTACCGCATTGCCGTCTTTTGTTTAAACTAGAATCCTACGGCGTTTCAGGTCAAGTATTGAAGTGGATTTCGGCTTTCCTGGAAGGAAGGCAGATGAGCGTCCGAGTGGGTTCCGGGCTGTCTTTCAGACAAGCCGTTCTGAGTGGTGTTCCTCAAGGGTCGGTTCTCGGACCTCTACTGTTTGCATTGTATGTCAATGACCTCCCTGAGAAGCTTAAGGTACCATCCCTTATGTTTGCGGATGACTTAAAATTTTGGAATACAGTGAGCGGTTCTGTTGGGCCCACGGCTTTACAGACAGCTCTGGACAAGCTTTGGGAGTGGTCAGAATTGTGGCAGCTGCCAGTCAATCTTGCAAAGTGTTCGGTCCTGCGCATAGGATCAAGCACTCTCACAACTTCTTACGTACTTGGCGGAAATGTATTGCGTCAAGTGACTGAACAAACTGACTTGGGTATCTCGTTATCCTCTGACTTCAAATCCAGCGAGAACTGGATAAATGCTACCCGTAAGGGTTTCCGAATGCTGTGGATGATCCGCAGGTCATTCGGCATTATAACAAATGAAATGTTCGTTATATTGTTCTCAGCCTTCGTCAGGCCATACTTGGAGTACTGCGTGCAGGCCTGTCCTCCATGCTTGGTACGCGACAAGATGACACTTGAACGAGTTCTGAGGGTTGGTACGAAAATGGTACAAGGATTGAGGCATCTCTCGTATCCCGATAGGCTGCTCAGGTTGCAGATGTTTTCGCTGCACTATAGGCGCCTTCGGGGAGACCTGATTCTTACTTACCGTATATTGACCAACAAGATTGGGCCTGATCTAACTGGACTGTTCCAGCCGGCTCAGATGTCATCTCTTCGTGGTCACCCTCTGAAGTTGCATAAGCCTAGATCTGATCACGTTAGAGCTGACGTTCGGTTGTCACGCAGGGTCATCGACTCATGGAACGCACTACCCAGCGAAGTAGTGTTAGCACCAACGGTGAAGGAGTTTGAACATCGACTCGACGCCCTTGGGTTACAGTTTCAGACCTTTCCTTTTAGTTCTTAACTTTTACATCTATTTCCTTGGCTCCTCACATCTATTACTATTATTGTCTTAACCACACGTTCTCTCCTGTACTACAATTACCATTATTTTGTTTTTGTTGGTTCCCTTCTCTTAACCTTTATTCTATTCACGTGCCCGGTACAGTGGGGACTGCTAGTGCAGGCCGCGTGGGCATTGATTGGTTGACCGTTATGTGATTCGTGTGTATTGATTTGGCTCCTCTCGGATCCAAACCGCTCCCGCGAACTCCATCCTGGTTCAACGACGCATTGAAGAAGGAACACACATGGGAATCCTCCTACCGTTCCTGTCCAAATTGAACTTGAACTTGAATTGCACTATTTTCCACCATTAATTTTACTTGAATTTTCGCGCTACGGACTGGTGGGTCGCTACCGTTGCAAACACGTGAGGACTGGATCGGGGCCAAACACAGCGAACAAACAGCGCACAAACGCTACTGTCTTAATGTTACAGGAACGAGTCAACAGTGTCTGGTGCGCTTGAACTTCGTTCAAGCCAAATACACAATTCCATCGCATCTGAATGTAACTCAATACGCGATTCAGTGCAAATCTAGGTTTGCACATTGGTTCACTTTAGCTCAAGATGTGAACACGTTTGAATCTAATTCAGCAATAGTATGCCTCGTTATTCATTTGCTTCCCATAAATATGCTCCGGCTCAGATTTGTCTCGTATTCTCACTAGCAGCGTGCGTGGAAGCAGTCGGGAGCGATACAACATCAAAGATGATAACACGGGCTGTGATGGATGCAGTTTGCGCAGGGCCAAGGAAGTGAAAGACAATCGAATGCCACCTGCGGGAGCTGACCATAGTGGGACGGGTCCAATGGACAGCGAAGAATCGGTGCGCAATGGTATGAACAGTGCTCCGCGTGAAGTCAGATATGGCAGATGTAGGATGGACGAAACCCAACGGAAAAACAATGAACAATAAACAATGATTTATCAAGGGATAAAAGCAAGTGCTTCACACGTCCCGTAGGATGGTTGGGGTGAATATGATGAAAGCAAAATAAATCTGTGTCGTCTACCGAACGTCTGCCGAGATGAATACTTCGATAAATTACATCAGTGTGAAATTTAAAATAAAATCGAGCGTAAACGTTCGGAAAGACACTGGGGGTGCAGTGATCGTTGATAAAAGGAGTGAGGAAAGTAAAATATGGTCGCTCACTTAGGTCCATTTGATACATAAATCCTGTTGGAAAGCATGCCTGGCGTAATCCACAATAGAGTAGTTTAGGTAACAAAATGCTGGGAGCTAAGAGCAACATCTAATCGTTTTTGAAAACGTCCAATGTAGGAGAGGATACATCTGAGTCTGGGAGTGCGTTCCAGGGTTGGCAAACCCGAAGGGAAAAAGAGTTCCGTCTACACTCTAGACAGCTATATTTTTCATTCAATTTGAATCAGTGACCCCTGAGCTGCGTGTTGTGGCTAAGTTTCAGCAAATGACGGCATACATGGTTGGGGTCAATCAGTATCTGATAAGCTAATATGTGATCCCCGCGCAAGCTTCGATAGCGTCCGCTGAAAATTCCCAACAACTTCAGCCTTCGGTGGTAAGGGTGATAGCACAGGCCCTTTACATTCTTTGTTGCTCTTTGTTGTGGTGTCTCTAACGCCTCTAGGTCGCACTTCAACCAAGGTTGCAGAGCTTGGATAGCGTATTCAACATGCGGGCGCATGTAAGAATTGTGCATCATTGGGAAGATTGATGGGTCGAATCTCCCGAATGCCCTTCGCAGCACGCCGACGTGCTAGTTGCCTCTTTTCACAGTTACAGCCTGTTTTGAACAGTTGAGGTCGCTCTGTAAGAGCACACCAAGGTCATGTTCCTGGGAGCTATTCCGCAATCCGTTTGTCCCAAGCAAATATGTGTAGTTATGCCTACGGCGTAGTTGTACAACGCGACATTTGTCTACGTTGAATGGTGGGGCGTTTGAACTGACCAGTTCGACACTGTTAAGATCGCACTGGAGCCATTGGTGATCGTCCGGTCCTCTTCTGATCCTTCGGCATATCTTGATATCATTAGCGAAAAATAGGAAAACGGAAGCAACTGATCTCGCCAAATCGTTAATGAACACTAAAGATAGACGAGGTCCAAGAATAGAGCCTTGTGGTACTCCACGCGCCACCGATTGCATCAGACAATGATTCTTGGACTCTCACCTCTAGCCGTGGTTCGTGTAGAAAATTGCTAATTCAACTTCCGAAGCTTCTGAAAAGAATTCGATGGTCTAAACGATCAAACGCTTTTGAGAAGTCCAGGTAAATGACATCGACTCCTATTCCATCATCAACAGCTTCAGTCCAGCTATTACGTGCAATTAATAGTGTAGTATTACACGAATGCTTTTGACGAAAGCCGTGTTGCTCTGAGGCTATTAAGTTCTGGCTTTCCAGATATTGCATCAGCGCATCTGCGATGATTGATTCCATCACTTTGGATGGTACAGGAAGTAGTGTTATTGGACGGTAGTTGGCAGGATCAGTGCGGCTACCTCCTTTATGGATAGGAGTGATGACCCCTCGCTTCCATACTGGTGGGATATGGTTCTGTCTAAACATCGCTGATAGAAACGGCCAGTGGTTCTGCTAGATCACTAGCTACCGCCTGCAGAGCCTTTGGTCGGATGTTGTCGGCTCCGGGAGAACTGTGGATACGCAAGGATAACAACTTCTTCAACACAGCTTCTGCAGTGCAGGTGAGGTTGTCTAAACCCAACGCGTGTGAGCCGCTAAAATGCAGGCAAATATCCTTGACCACGACAACAAGGAAGGGCCAGTGGCAGCTGTCATAATGGAGTGGGGTTTCACACTGATCTGTGGTTTAATTTAACGGCATTTCATGGATAACAGATTCCTACCCCAAGCAGATTTACACTGATTATGATTGTGCAACAACCATTTGGCTGAATGAAAGCGAACAGTAGTCCTTATATAAACGGCGCATGCTGAATGCAACACTGACATTCATTATTCCTGTATGCTACAGATTTTTTGAAATCGACTATAAATTTCAATTGTAACTTCTTTTAGCTACTTTCCGATAGGTCCCATAGCGCAACCAAATTTCCATACAAAGAAACAGTTATTCTTATGTTGTGTAGGCATGCTGAATTCAAAGCTGACAGATGTTTTTCTCCGTAAGGCACATACTTTATGGAAAGCGACTATGAAAAGTTTTAAAAGAATTTTTTCCCATTGACACTGTGTGGTTCTCACAAATTCATCATCATCATCAACAGCAGTACATCAGTCATTTGAACTGATGCTTCGCTGCCATACAAACTTGATGACCTATGAAATGACGAATAATAAAGGGAGAGAAAGAGTACTTACCTGAAAACCTTATTGCCCTAAGCAAACATTCAGGGTCAATTCGGATACACCTTGTGTCAGCAACATACCGTCACAAACAGCTGGCTATCGTGCAACTTCACTATGGTACAAATTCACTGAGTAGCCGACAGGAACTGCTCCATATACCTTGTCATTATGCAATAGAACACACTTGAGACCACGTATTGAACTATCCAAATTAATCTCTAGTCTCGTGGATCATACAAGACAATGTTCAATTGCAATTAGATGCCTGAAATATCACGGCAAGAAACAAAATGCCTGTCTTCCGAAAAATGGTCAGGAAGGTTTCATCGCGTTTTCAGAAGAAGGAAAATTTTGTTTTGTCCATTAGCTGTTCTGTTCACGTACCCTAGAGACCAATAACTCATCCGTTCTCTTGGCAAACCCCAGGTCACACACTAAGTCATTCAAATCTTGTTGACTGAATTGCTACGGAGCTGATGACAGTTCAGCATCAGTTGCAGTCTTCATAAGTCGAAGCCCATTCATATAATTGGACCCCATCTTCATGCCCACTGATTGCATAAGCTGATGAAGCAAACTCTCTAAATTATGGAACCGTTAGCTCTTCAGAGTGTGGAATGAGTCTAAGTACAAAAGGAACTACGGAGCTAAGAGATCTTATGCCGATTTTTCTTGCCACTGCCTTTCGTATTTACCATGCAAAATAGTAGCCTACTACTATGTGGTTCTTAGATTCTCGTCGAACCATGGAAACTCCAAATGGCAGGCCTTTGTGTTTGCCTTTTGTCCAGACAGAAAGCATTTCCCCACAATAATGGTGTACAATGTGAGCCGCCTACTTTTTATCTTGGTCGCCGAGGTTGGTTTTATAGACATATTTTACAAACGAGGTGATATTTCTCCTTTGACGGACTAGTGTATAATAGCCGAACATATAGCAAAATTCATTAGATTCATTTGCGCATTTATTTCGACCTAAATGTGAACCATGGTCATACACGAAACGAAAGTGGATTGGTATTTAATTTTCTATTTATGTGAAATATCAAAATGCATGAAGACTAGAGTATGCAGATAAAAAGACAAATCTCATATTTGGAATCAGTATTGGAATTTCGTGTAGAATCACTTAAAAAGCTCTCACAATAGAAAGTTGAAAAGATTGTGTTTCCTTGTGTTATCGGTGAGCCGCACGACATGTATGTTACAAGGATGTGTCTTTCGGGGTTTCCGCATGTTTCAGCGAAATCGGTACCTTTCTTTATACTTGATCAAGATCATCTGAGAGATAAAAACGACCACGGACCAGATTACGGCTCAGAACCAGATGCATATTCTATACGCACTTAAAATGCAGCGCTAGAAATTCCACTCACACATACTTGTGCGCTACGGAGGGAGAACGACAAAATTTTACCCTACAAAAGTCACCATAGATGCCATTTGCTTGGGTACGCACATAACATTGTGCGGAGTCATTGTTCTACGAGGAACTCAAGGGACGAAGTAAGAAGCATTTGTATTTAGCTTGAGGAAATTGTGCATACCCTGTTGGTATGCATCCGCTTGAATGAAGGGTGTATATTGAAGCAGGAGGGCGGCAGTCCAAATACATGCTGGATTTCATGCATCCTAGCACATTAAGCTGGGACGGTGCAAACCAGAATGCAACGATACATGCTGCAGTCGCCCCGGGGGACCACCTAAACTGCAGCGAAAATTACGCAAGAGAAGCAGTTAAGGAGAGATGAGGCACTACCACTAGTTAAGCGAACTTACGTGACGAGCCCACAATGGAGGTGGATGACCGTCGGCGCCCCGATAAAACAAATTCACCACCGTCGTAGCCAGAAAGGTGGACAACGTGATCATGGTCATGTTGAGACAGAAGAATACGCCTGAGAGAATATTGGGAGAATAAAAAAGTAACCAAATGTGGGCAGCACTAATGTAGAAAGGGGTTTATATGCACATGCCTACAATACACGCGCGATAATTACACTTTCGATAGATTATTTTTGAAGGATATTTGTGAGTAACGTAAGTTTCGTAGAAGGCAGAAGTCACGATTAAACTCCACACGAAAATCTGCCAGGACAGTTACTGTGAGCTCATTGGCAATACGTCGCGCACCAAGCAGATGTCACGTGTTAAATTCCGCACCTAATCGTCAGCCCTCGGTAGCTCAGTGGTAGAGCAGCGGACTGGACATTCGTGGACCGGGGTTCGATTTCCCGTCGAGGCAGATTTTCGTGTGGAGTTTAATCGTGACTTCTGCCTTCTACGAAACTTACGTTACTCACAAACATCCTTCCAAAATAATCTACCATCGCCCTTTGGACTTCGGATGGACAGTTACGTCGGTCCACTGGGAAGTGACGAGTGAGTGAGCCGATCTGCAACACCAGGACAGTTACTGTTAGCTCATTGGCAATACGTCGCGCACCAAGCAGAAGTCACGTGTTAAATTCCGCACCTAATCGTCAGCCCTCGGTAGCTCAGTGGTAGAGCAGCGGTCCGGAAATTCGTGGACTGGGGTTCGATTCCCCGTCGAGGCAGATTTTCGTGTGGAGTTTAATCGTGACTTCTGCCTTCTACGAAACTTTCGATAGAGCCAAATCTTAGCCGACTGCAAATGAAGTAGCCGACCAACAAATTAAGATGTTATAGGTAGGAATTTGTCACATCTAGGCTCACTCATACAGCCATCATACACCGGGAAAAACACTGTACGCGCCTCTCAACCTTTCGGTGAATCGTCAGCAGTGCGCATTCCAGCGGACCTTGGTAAGGCTCGAACCCGCAACACGTTTGTTGCCGAACAACCTCCTCGTGGTGCCAGCTGGGTGGTTCGGGATTTTCCCGTTCCAGCAAATGGTTCCGCGGCAGTGTTCCAGGACGTGGTGGGTTTTCGCCTGGCAAGCGTTCTCCCTATAAAAGCCACATATGTCCGTTTAACAACACTGGGACGTGGCGGACGTGACTCGCCACTAAATAAAGTCACTGCCCCTTGCTTCATCCTGGCGAAGCATTGTATTCCTGCAATCTTATGCTGTACTTCTAGGGAGCATTGGGCCCCTGTTTGACAAAGGAACAAACGAAAGGCGTATGAACTGAGAAATCAGTCGCCGGCTCCCAATGGGCGCGATTCCCTGAATTCGCTCCGCTGCCTTGCGGGCAGGCTATTAAGCCAAAGGCTCGGGGTGGTGTCCCCTAAGTCAACACGCTACTTCGGCTTGGGCAACCGGGTAGTATCTCGCCCTCTGAGGAAACCATGGACATTGTTGTGTTGTGTTTTATTTTACTGTTTCTGTACCTTCGTTTGAATCCCATGGTTTCTGATGGCATTATGTCTGTTAACAGACTTTTGCAAATATATATATATATATATATATATATATATATAAGTAGTAACGTGCATGTCAGTGAATAGTGAGCGGCGCTATATCACATCTAGTAACTTATTCACCATGGTCGTTACCGTCCCCCATTAGCTCAATGGTCTCATTTACGGACTGGCAACATTCGAATTGCGGGTTCGAGCCCAACCAGGGTCCGGT